GGGGAGGGGGATAGTAGAGGATAGGAAAGGTAGCAGAATACAACAGTTACTAATATGGCATTATGTAAAAATGTAGATGTGTAACCGATGTGATTCTGCAATCTGTATACGGAGTAAAAATGGGAGTTCATAACCCACTTGAATCTAAAGTATGAAATATGATATGTCAAGAGCTATGTAATGTTTTGAACAACCAATTAAAAAAATAAAGAAAAGAAAAGAAAAAACTCTTAGGTTTTAGAGATATATATTGAGTACTTAAAGGTTTAAATGTCATGATTTCTGGTAATGACTTTAGAATATTTCAGCAAAGTAAAAAATAGAGAAAACAAATACCTCTCAAAAATATTGCAAACAATTTTCTTTTTTGTTCTATTGTTTTTCTGAATTTTATATTTTTGACATTCAGAAGTTCAGAATTTTTATGTAATGTAATCTATTTACCTTCTCCTTTTATATTTTCCCCTTAATTTCATGCTTCAAAAGTTCTCTTTTTTTCCAGTAGGAATATGTAAGAAAAAATACTTATTATTCTTATTTTTCCATTTGTACTTTTTACTTTTCTCTATGAAATAGAGGCAGTATTTGCTCTGTTACTGTCTCAAGTCCAGCCCTAGATTCCACCCTGTGATTCATAAACAAAATAATTGGGGATTTGAGAGAATGAGTTTCTAGAATTTACTGTGTCATTAGATATGATGGACGTCTTCTCTTGTCAATACTTAGATATGGAGGTCTCAGCCCCTGAGACTGGGAGTCACATTTGAAGCTGCTGTCCTCTGTGACATTTCTCAAGGTCTTTCTTACACCTGGAGCTTTATGGACTCTGATGGGTCCCCCGTCCTCCTCCCTGCTGCCATCAATGTCCACAGACAAACTATCGTTCTCCCAAGCTACACGCTGGTGTTCGGGAACTACACTGCCATCGCCAAGGTGAGCTTACTGCCTGGTGCCATTGCTAGTTCACTGAAACCAATGCTTTCCACCCTGTGTTGGAGTAAGAGCTCAGCATTTGTAATCCTAAATCTGTTCTACCAATAAATAGGGGTTGTTAAGATCGTGGGTAGGATTTTAGAAGAAATGTTTCAATTCTCCCCAAAGAATGTGTGTTCAAATGCTAACGTAATCGATGAAAAAAAACTCCTTCTAGTTTATTTAACTAAATCTTCCTGTGCACCAGAAGAATATATGACTTGACCATGTAGGAGCTTGTCACCCAGAAAAGGCGGGAGGACCACCACCAGAGGGCAGGGCCATGAGAACAGTATCCACAGTGACCACCTGGCACTTTGGCCTTCTGCCAGCTTTTAGTGTATTTTTGCTAGAAAAAAATAGTGAAAATGTGTGGATTAGAAGAAGGAATCTTTGCCATTACAAGAGTGGGCTCCATGAAAGAGGGATCTTGAAAACAGTTGGTGTACAGGCATAGAAAGTGGGGTGTGGGGAGCAGCTTGGCCAGGCATAATGCGCAATAGCTGTCAGACTATAGTTAGGTGGGAAGGCAAGACTGAGGAGATGCTCCTTGAGACCAGACTGGGAACCCAAAAATCTCTGCAGTAGAGGAATGGTGTTCTTTCACTCTGTGGGGTGCATAGTCCTGTTGAGCCTTGGTCCCAGCTCAGGCCACAGACAGCTCACCATACGGTCCCTGGACACACATACTGGCCTCAAGGACAATCAAGGAAGGGAGCCCACTGGATCTGTGCTGGAAGTCATGAACGGAGCCCTCACATGCTTCCTCTTGATTCTGTACTTATCTCAGTGAGAACTAGACATACCATAGATTGGCCGAGTGACAGAGGGCCACAGACCACACCTTGAGGAACTCTGTTAGCTACAGGTCATAAGAAAAAACAATGTTTCTGAGCATGATGCATGTTCTTCTCTAGAAGTATTAATGAGAAAGAATCGGAAACTGATTGAAGGATGGGTTTCTGGGTGAGTGTTCTAAAAGCCAAGTCAGGAAATACTTAGGGGCTGAAACAGGTAATGACGATGGAATAAAGAGAAAAGCAGGATAGATAGGAGCAGTTGATTTGCCATGATAACTAATTGTGAGAGTTAAAGGGAAAATTCAAAGAGAATCTGTAATACCTGGTGAGTGGAGCCGAGTAATGGAAACCAAGTACCTATGAATGTGCTGGGAAGGGATGCAAAGAGAAATAAGGTCTTTGCCTACTTGGGCACATGACCTATTGGGAGACATAGACGGACCCCAACAAGCTACAGAAGATACGATTCATGTCTAAACAGTGATGGGAAACTCTGAGGGAGGAGCGGCCCTGAACCCTCAGCCACATCTTTGTTGACCAGGATCAACAATTGTCGGAAAATATCCCCTAATGTGAGTCACATGCATGGGGAGGGGGATGATCATGCTGAAGCAGGTGGGGCTTGTAGGCAGAATGGTGGGAAATGGTCTGAAAATGGGCTTCAGTGGGGATCTTCTGAAGATGACCAGAGACCTGGGGTGGATTGTGACTTCGATGTTAAGAGGTTGAGCTTGACAGTTCTGGAGAGTATTCAGGCGCCATGTCTGTCAAGACAACAGAATGGAAAGTGGGTGGAGCTGGATACAGCCATCTAGCCAGAGGAGAGCCAGCTGGGGACAGGGAGCACAGCCCCCAATTGGCAAGGAGTGCAGAGGAGAGAGCTATGCCAGAAAGCCACATCTTCAGGGGGAGGGAGGAAAGAGGCTCAAAAAGGAGGCAAGGTTTTTGGTATTTCTGTGCAATATAAAAAGCACCATGAGTATTCATGTTATTTCTTTTTTCTTAAGCTTAATTTTCAAATACTGGAAATATTTTAGTAGGTATATTCTAGAAAATGGTATGTGCTCCTGATTCAAGCTGCTTGGTTTATCTCAATTTGTAATCTGTACTGTTCATTGTTGCAGACAAGAACAAGAAGATTTTCTGTGCCTGTGGCTAAACATGGGGTATCTTAGGCACTGGCCTTGGTGGAAGCAGATTCTTGGTGGAAGACTGAGGTCAACATGAAGTAGTCCAGAGGCAGGGTCCTGTGAGGTCACTGAGGGAGCTGTCCTCTAGCAATTTTGGTGCCCTGGTGGAGGCATGAGTGAGTGGGAGGATGCTCCCTAGATGGGCTATGATCAGCCTCTAGAAGATACCTCATACTGCTGTTCATCTACTCTGCAGACCTTAAGAACCAGTGTCATCACCATTCTTTAGGTCTGTTTTGACCAGGGAATCAGGAGGATTTTAGAAAAATCCTCCTTCCAACCAGGAAATCAGTTGGCGTGTAGCCAAGGGATTCCCTTTCCATCTACCAGTGGGGGTACAGCAAGGAAGATGGGATGAAACAGCTAATAAGGCAGGCATCGAAGCCTGACATGTCCAGCCCAGGGTTCTGACCAACTGGCTTATAAGAACCCTGCTGGCCATGTGAGGGGTCAGGGCTGGGTCCATGCTCTGACATCAACATCTATTGGTACATTTGTTCCTTAGCTATGTCCTACCCTCCAGCAGCCTCCTGTCCTGCCTCTGCCTTCTAATTGATTGCTTTTCCATCTCTGCTCTCATCTGGATGTTATATTTGTGATCAGACCCTCAGGCTCTGAGCTTCTACCACCTCTGCACCTTCCAGCACCTCCCACATTGAGCTCACAGGCTTGGAGCCTTCTCAGGGCTTCCTTGGTGCTGGAGGAACTGAGTAAATACAGGTTGGGGGTGTAAATCATAGTTTTGATCATGTGGTCATTATGCTATCTCTGGTTATACTCAGGCACCTGACCAGCAGGGTGTATTTGTAGGAGGAAAATCCAGAAGGGATGAGCCCAAGTCCAGGGAAAAGTACAGCAAGTGTTAGACTATATCTTTTCAAACATTGCTCACAGCTTACCATCAAAATTTTAAAAGAATGTTTTGAATGCCTTATTTATAAATTGTTTTATGATTTCTAAATTTAGAAGTATTTGTCTGACACAGGCATGGTGGCACATGCCTGTAGTTCCAGTGGCTAGGGAGTCTAAGGCAGGAGAATCACAAGTTCAAAGCCAGCCTCAACCACTTATTGAGGCCCTAAGCAACTTAGCAAGACCCTGTTTCAAAATAAAAAATAAAAAGGATTGGAGATGTAACTCGGTGGAAAAGCATTCTTGGGTTTAATCCCTAGTACCAAAACAAACAAAAAAAGCACTTGTCTGAAATTTCATTTACAGTTCTTAAAGTCCATTACACATTTGGATGAAAGTCAGAAAAATGTTAACAGAAGAGGTTTGAGAATTGTCACAAAATGCCATACATGGAATATTGCTATTTGAGGTTCTATGTTCACAAGCCCAGGCAACTTTGCAGATTAAACCTGACTTGATAGGAAAATGCTCATATTCTCGCCTTCAGCCATGTGTCCAATGGGTGCACAGTAGGTGGTTTATTTTGACAATAGGGACTGGTTTAGTTGAACCCAAGAATGCATATACACACACCCCTATTCCCTTTCTAGTGTCATGTGTATAGATCCAGCGAGCACCTGCTTTGACCTTGTGTGATACGCCCCTGTTGTTGACCCCCTAGGTTCAGATCCAGGGCAGTGTGGTGCACAGCAACTACTGCGTGGGTGTGGAAGTGCAAAGCAGGGCACCTGTCAGTGTGATCTCAGAGGGCACACACCTCTTCATTCCCAGGGCTACCTTGACCCCCATCATCCTCCAAGGATCCCAGTCCTATGACCCAGACTATCCGGGGGCTGCTCTCAGGTGAGATGGGGAGCTTTGCTCCTCTCAGATTCTGACTCCTTCAAACTCAGGAATGTTGGGGAAAAAATCATTTGAGAATTCTGTATAACATTTTTAAGAAATGAAAGTCCATCTGCTTTCATAAGCCAAACTGTTTTATTTAGATCAAAATATAAGATAATTTAGAAAAGAGGGGAGAGAAATGTGAATATCTTTTAAAGGTGGTATTTAAAATATGATTTTGGAAGGTGATGTCTAACCATTACCCTTTCATTAAAATTTCTGGGTGGTGAGAGGCCTTGTGTGGGAGAGGAGAGTGCTACATGTCCCTGTGGGAGTCTCTTGCTATTGGAGGCTCCAACACAGGCCTTGTCCCCATAGCCATCTGCAGCCTGACTTGGGGACCTACTCAGTCTCCTACTTGAGTCCGTCCATGATCCCTGTACATGCATCCTCCCTGGACCCATCCCTGCCCAGTAGCCACAGACATGCATCCTCAGAAGGGAGCACTCCAGGCTATATGTCCCTGCCCCATTTCAGCACTCCCTTTTCTGTGCCTTGAAACCTCTCAGCTATAGTTCCTACTTCCTCACATTCAGTCTCCCCCATCTCCACTTGAGGAACAATTCTCCCTGCTAATGGTTTTGGCTGAGTGACTCCTCTTTGTCTCTCTGACTTCTCTCTCACACACACTTCATGTTCCCTCTGTCAAGATCTTGTCAGCCTTACCTGAAACACCAGCTCCACATATCTTCTCTGCTTCATTGTGCTGAACCCCCAGGGCCTTAGCTCATCTTCGAGACAGCCTCTCCTTAGAGACCTCCATGCCTCCATCCTCCCCCTGCAGCCGATTCTCCAAGGCAGAGGATGGATTCTTCTCGAACAAGTCAGGTGCTCTCACTTCACTGTTCTAATCTTCCAGAACTCTCTTTTTACTCCAAGTAGAAATCAACATCCTCAGCTGAGGCCGACATGCCCTTTTAGCTCCAGCTGCAACTGCCCCTGACTCCTCCACTGTTCACTCCTAGCCAGAGTAATCTTCCCTGAGCTCCTGGCAATCAGGTTCCTTCTGTAGCTCTTCTCTCAGTGATGAGTCTGTCACCACCTCTTTCCTTTGATTCAATGAATGCTCGAGCATCACTTTCCCAGTGAGACCCATTTAAAATGATGAATCCTGGCTTTCTCTGTTATGGTTTCACTTATGGGGCCACTGTTCACTAACATCCTGCATTGAGTATGAGCTCCAGAGGGCAGGGCTCTCCCTTAATATATCCCTTGTTCCTGGCACACAGTGCCTACTTTACTAATACTTTATAAATAATTAGAAGAATCACTTTGTTCTCTTAACCCCTGAGATACCATATGTGTTTGTTACTCTACAGTGGTGGGATTCGGTGTTCTTTTAATCCAAAAGAGGAGAGAGATTACCATCTCCCACCCCACCCCATTCCCCCAACTTCCGTATCCTCTTGAGTACCCTACCTTTTGAAAATTCCATCTGTGTACATGCTCCAGGCAAAGAGACAAAGCTACCTCTACCCTGGGCCTAAGAGACCAACTGGGTCTTGTTTATCATTGTACCTCTCAGCACTCAGGTTCATGCCTGAAAACAAGATATCAGTGCATGGCTGCTGAAAAGTGCTGAATTTGCTTCCAGGGAATGCAGAATAGCCCAGCTGATCCCAGGTTCACTTGCTCTTTCCAGCATGTAAGTCAGAGGATGCTGCCACCCTGTGGGGTGATTAAAAGGCTATCATAATGCCGCCTCATATGGTTTGGAAACAGGTCTAGAATGTGGTACCTTCACACCATGTAGGGAGAGCCACCTTTAAAGCACAGTCATGGCTCAGACTTAAGTAGCACCTGAAGAAACGGCTCTACTGTCAGATTGGTCCTGGACCCTCCAGCATTTCTAAGCCAGCAATTCTTCCCTGCCAAACTGCTTATTTAGCTGTCCCTCAAGAATGAGACTGCTCCGGGTTAGGGATGACGCTGGCTGTCTGCTTGCTTGATCTTGATAAAGCAAATACATTTGTCTTGTTGAATATGACAGTTTCCTTGCAGGAAGGTAGTGAGATTAGAGCAGAGATATCTAGAGTCATCCATCTACTTATCCCATCTTTCACCAGCTCTGAAATAGGGCAGCTCTCTGAGGCCTCTGGAAATGCATTTTCTTCCTAAATTTGGGTCAATATGGCATTCCTGTATGTCGTGAAATTGTCACAAAGATGAGATACAGTGTTGGCAGACTGCTTGAGGGGAGCATGCTGTGTAGTAGAAGCATGTTGAGGTAGCAGAAGTGTGAGCAGAGGGAGTCACTGTGTGCAGCAAGGGTGGCAGCAGCTACCAGGTTGGTATGGAAAGTGAGGGTCCCCAGGGATGAAGTTAGGGTTACATATCAGTGAGTGGGAGGAGCTAGTCTGAGAATCCAATGATTGACACCTCACTGATGGAAAAGAACAAGGGGACGTCATCTCTTCCCCAGGACCACGTCCCTTTGACATCAGAGGTGCCATGACTGTCCGTTCAACAGGTATCATTGGACCTGCACTGCTGCCAACTCACCTGGACAGCCCTGCTTTGACAATTCCACTCCACACCAACTGGACACTGGGGCTCCCACCATTTCCTTCACAGCAAAATGGCTTAGCGAATGCTGTGACCAGTTTCTCGTGACACTGATGGTTTCCAGCACTGGCAGGAATTCTTCCAAGGCTGAGGTGTTCCTTTCCATCAGTCTTGCTTTTGCCTTCAGGTATGTGACTTGGAGCTAAGCTGAGCTGAACTGAGTGGTCCTGGCTGGTTCCATCTGAGACTATGAGAGGTTGCAGAAGAAATGAAATGTTATGACCAAAACCCAAAAGCCCTGCATCACCCTTAGTCCATGTGTAGCTCCCAAACATCAGTACCAGGATCAAGTCGAGTGGCCAGGGTGGGCATGGGCTCAGCAGTTCACTGACCTCCCCCTCTGGAGATAAGAGTCATTAGACCTAAGTGAGAAGGAGGTGTTGCCCAGGGCCCACCACTTTGAGATGATAGAAAATTTTACTGCACCACTCAGAATGGCACAATTTAATCCTTATGAATTAATCCTGGAATTTTCCATTTGCTTCAGTGGCTATAGGTATCTGAAAAGTAGAAAGTGAAACTGTGGATGGGGGGAACCACTGTGTACAAGTATACACAGAGATACACAGGCACACAAACACACACATGGACAAGCTGGACATGGTTCCCTGCAAGGAAGCTGTGCGGCCCTTTGTACCGTGACACCTCTCATCTCCCGCACAGGGAGCTGCATGTTGAGGCTGTGGTCTGAGAAATGGGGCATAGTGCATGGGGGTGTTTGCATGGGAAACACTGCAAACCACTTAGTCTTTATCATTCCTGGACCTTTAGAGGCTCGCCAGGTCCTACAGAAAAGAAAGCTATTTGACAGGGCCTGACAGTCTCCAGCCATATGGTAACATTTGGAAGAACCCCTGTCCACAAAATGTGCTTTCCAAAGTGCTGGTCAGCAGAGAGACTAGAGAAATTGTCAGGAGGTGGCTGTGGTGGCACTGGGCTGTGTGGAGGGTAGAGTTACATATGGAGTTGTGTGTGGTAAGGGGCAGTGGTGGGGTGGGGGTATCCCACCACCATTGGCCATGCACAGAGAGGAGGTAAAGCCAAGGCAGATGGCGGCATCTTTCTTTGTGAGCTCCTGAGACTAGGTGAGAATCACAAAGGTGCATGGTTTGGCGGGTCTGCATGAGGGTGGTTTTGAAGACTGAGCTGAGGAGATGAGGAGATTACTTAGGCATCAGCTGTTCTCTATAGAGGGCTTGGCCAGAGCCCAAGCTGAAGGCCATGGGTCTCAAAAAAGTCACATAGCCTCTCTGAACTGAGCCAGGTTATAGTGTGCTTGCTGGTCTGTTAGATCAAATCATGTGTCCAGTATGGCGCAGCTGGTCACATGTCATGTGCTCCATCATACAGACTTGAGTTCCCATGATGAAGAGACAGCTTGGGCAGTTTGGGCATGCCCAGCATGAATGCATGCAGCCAAGGGCCCATACATTTTCCTAAAATATCAAACTGATTTGTATATTTCAGATTCATCCACATCTCCTGGGTCAATTTTAAAGACATCTATGTCAATTGGAATGAAGAACTGTCTCTCCAAGCTGTGTGTGAAGACTGTGGAGAAATACAAAATCTCTCTTATTCCTGGGATCTTTTTTTAGTCAATGCAACAGAAAAGAACAGAATTGAAGGTGAAATGTTTGCTTTATTTTACTGACTGAGGAGAAAGCTCGGGGTTGTCTTGCGTTTTGCCAAGAGTTTGGTCTGACCCAGTGTGTCTGATTTGCCTGGTTGATGGCTTCTTCTTCCCTAGCACCTCTTGTTTTCACCCTCCAAAAGAGAGGAAGGAATCAACTGCTACTCAGGCACCCTGTGGAAGTGACAGAAGGCTATGCCCAGCATTCACTGAGACAGTTTTATTTTTTTAAAGCCACAGTGAGCTATTGAAAAGGACACATGATGTGACTCACCTTTCAGAGGACTGTGTCCCTATGATATTGTGAAGTATATATTCGGTCTACATCCCTGGCATATAACTCATCCCTGGCATAATCCCCAAATCCTTGGAATCCTCAAAATAATAGTGCCTTTTTGTATGCTAATGAGGTGACTGATGATTGGCAGCTCTCAGGTAGCTTCAGGATGAGAGTTGGTCTTCAGAAAGACCAAGGTGGGATGGCCAAGGTTGGGAGTTTCAGCCCCAGTTGGTCACCAAGGGCCAATGATTTAATCAGTCATGCTTGTGTAATGAGGTTGTCATGGGAAACCCTGATTTATAGCTGATTAGTCAGAAGCACAGGTAAAACCATCAAGGGCTCACAATTGGCACCCAAAATAGGCACAGTCTTGAGGCTTAACCTGTGAGGTCTGAGGTTACCTCCAGTAACATAATGTGAGAATTGAACTGAATTGAGGAATATAAGTGGATGTCTTCTGCAGAACTGCTTGCTTTCTTGTTAGTGGGGAGAACTCACACCATTTAGGATCACTGAAGTGATCTGTGTTGTAAGAGTATAGTACGAGAAACTGAGTCTGATTTTTCTACACAGTCTTTCAGACTGTTCTACACAGTCTGCATGGTGAGGGCTGGTTCTGAGCCTCTTTCCTGCACTGCCAGCTGGTGATTATAACCTCTTCTCCAAGATTCACTGAAAGATGGGTACCCTTCTTGTCAGCCCAAAAGACAAGTTGAGGCATGCCGAGTATGGGAACAAAGAGTTTATGCAAGGCAGAATGAGGATGGCCACTAAGGTAGAGCACACAACTTTAGTTGCCCAGAGTAAGGGCTCATAAAATGATAGCCAAGAGACTGGGTTTTATATGTTAAAACAGAAGAAAGAAATTGCAATTGAGGAGAAAGACACAGCATGTGGATTAATGGTCAGTCACTGATTAATTGTCAGTCCAAGTAGGAATTGCAGTAAACAGGAAAGGGCTTTTACTCAGGTTATTGATTATCATTGTGGTGTTGGGAAATCTGCAGACATGAGCTGTGTGCTGGGTCAGAATGACCTAGGAAACTATGGTCTAATGCCCCAGGATTAAAGAATTTTTTAACATCATTTTTGTCACATTTAAGTCCTTTCTCATACTGTTCCACAGAGTGGTAATAAGACTAAGTTAAATAATGTGTACGAACATGCTGGGTGTTGGGCTGGTTGGCTCGAAGTTCCGGTGGGACACTTAGGTGTGAACCAGGATCGAGACTGAGTTCTCATGTGGTGATGACTGTGATCAGGGGGACAGTTCCCATGGCAAACAGAGCAGCTTTGTTTGTGAGCTGGCAGCCAGCTCCTTCAGCACAGCTCCTGCCAAACCCCTATTGGCCTTCTGCCATTTAAAAATAATCTGTTCAATGGGGCGATACAAAGCTCCTGAAAGTAGAACTCTGAGTACAGCTGGCCTCAGTGGCTAAGGGGACATGAAGACATTGATGCAGTCATGCCCTGCATTGCAGGAGAGGAATTCCTTAATTCTTTTGGGGTATGTTGAGTTTTCTGGAATCAAAGCCAGAGGATGTCCAGAGGTTAAATTTCCAGGAAAGGAAACATTGCCCTAGATGGATGAATCTCAAAATCCTGGCTCCCCCATAGACAAATGCAACAGCATGATTGACAGTTCATTTATATGCCCATGGCTATTTTTTTTTTCTTTGCTCCTGATTCTTCATCATAAATTTGATGTTTTTTGGAATTGTAATATTCTGTCCTTACTGTCAGGTAGGGAAGTGAGGATTAGGAGAAATTCCATGTTCCCCAAATTATTTCTATAATACATGAAAAACCAATACAGAGAGTGTGGAGAATCTGGCAGGCTCCCCTTCAGTCTCTATGGATCCTGGGTAAAGCAAATCCTCTCCTACATGTTTGCTGCAATTGATCTCCAGACTATCAGATGAAAACCACATTCCATGGGTTTATCTCTCAAGTGCGGGTTTTGAATTCACATCAGACTTGTTGAAAGCAGAGCAGTCTTACAAAATTTACAGACTTTTAAAAAGCTGATTTTTCCTGTTTGGTCCAGAATTTTAACACTGTCATATGTGTGTTTAAGTTCCCTTTTGTAGCACTGTGGGGCTGCTGGGTGCCTCAGCACTCGGAACGACTTTGAAGTCATCAGAGTCAAATCTTCTGACCACTGAGCCAAATATGACAGATTCCAGTGGATCACCCACGCTGTCTTCACGAGAGCCTTCACCCATGATCCACGGTCGGCTTGCCCTTTTAGTCACTAGGAGCACCTCTACAGAGTCCACTGTGGGTGGCCACCAGATTCCTGCTTCTGGTGACAACACAGCCCTGGAGGATCCTTCTGAGGATGAGCCACTGGGCCCAGAGCTGGAGTCCCTTGGTGAAGGAGCCTCAACTGTGAGCCCCTCTGAGAGAAGCTGGTCTCCACCCAGCTTCTCACCTGTCCTTGATGGCAAGTACCTCCATCTCTGCAGGTTGTCCCCCTTATTTGGGCACCAGGTTTATCTTGGGAAGGGTGCATCTGGTGGGTCAGGTTTGAAGTCTCATGCACAATGCCCTTGAATCACAGAGTGCTGGATTCACACCCACTATTTGTTAATTGTGACTTTAAGTGAAACATTGTGATTTTGTCTCATAGATTTTGAAGCCTATTACAGTGATATCCAAGAAGCAATGCCATCTAGAGGAAGACAGAGAGGTAACTGCTTCTATGATTGTTCCATGTAGGCCCTGCATCCTGGCCCACTGTTCTCCATCTCTTCTTCACACCCTTTGCTGAAGGCTAGATTCATGTGCTTCCCCTTTACATCAAGGCCACCTGGAACTCCCAGAGTCAGAGGGGAAGTTTAAACTCCTCTGCCTGGAACTGGTAGGCCCAAAACTTTGCTTCTAACTTACCTCCTTCTGCACTTCTTGTACTCTGCTCCAAAAATCTCTCAGTACCCTCAGGCCTGATGATGAGCGTTCCAGCTCTCCCAGACCCTGTCAGGGGGGTCCTCTACCTAAAATGCCTCCCCCACACTCTCCCAAGTTGCCTACTTACCAAGAATCTTCCCTGAAGATCTGCTCTATTTACCAGTCTCTGAAGCATTTCTCAGTCTGATGATGACCCCCCACCAGCCAAGGGTATTTCCTCCTAACCGTTTAATGCAGAGGGCACTGGCCTAATCATCTCTTTTAGTCTCTTTTACCCTGAGATCTTCAGAGAAAGCTTCCATGACTAGCTTCTGCTAGTGTCCCCAGAGCTATTGCAGTGCTTGGCACATTAGCATCCAGTAAGGGTATTATCCAATGATACCAGAAAATGATTTATTTATCTATCAAGTGAATGGATGACCCATTAGTAGATGATTTATCTGTCAGGAGAATAAATGGATCAAGTGAACACTTGATTAATCTGTCTAATGAGTAGATGGAGGATTCAAGAATGATTTATCTGTCAATGAATAGGTGGACAATTTATTTGTTGACAGAACAGATAGATGGATGGTGAGTGAGTGATTTATTTCTGGAGTGAATGGCTGGATGAGTGAGATCATGTGGCCTGGTGTCACTCTGCTTCTGTTCCTGCTGCATGTTGTCATTTCACTGCATAGCAGACAGAGTTCTTTCCCCACCACAAGCCACACTGTCACCTCCAGACAGTACCTCCAGTGGCTTACCATCACACACAGGACAGAGGCTGTGGGCTGTGTCCCCTAGCATGACCCCAACCTCGTCGGCCACCATCCCACTTTATTGACTCCCTCTGACTGCCCTTGGAAGACCCTCCCCATGGCAATTAATAAACCACACCATAACAGTGTGGTTTTAACTCAGTATGGAAACTTCCTCCTCCAGATTTTCAAAGAGCTTCTTCTATCCTGTGTTCTGAAGCCACTCTAGAGAGGAGCTCCCCACCACTTTTCCACTCCCTGCACTCTCTTTCTCTGCAAATCCTGTTTTATTTTTCTTTATCACACTTATCATTAGGTGATTTGCATTATCTATGTATTTACTTGTTTGTTTTTCTGACTCTTTTGCTCTGTTGGTTTGGTTCACTCTATCTCTAGTTCTTAGACCTGGACCTGGTAGACCATAATAAATATTTGTTGAATAAATAAAGGAAGGAAGCAACATGTGATTAGGTCACTAATTACATAATAACAAAGTGCATTGCTTGAATATGTTTTTTTTTTGTTTGCTGAAGACATTATTTTAGACATGTGGTATTCAGCAATTGTAGAAATAGTCACTAATGACAACATTGAGTCATTTGTGCTTTAAAGAGATCATGACTTTTTCTCTTGTTAAATATTTTTATTAGTGAATATAATTATACATAATAATATGGTTCACTGTGACCTCTTCATACCTGCATATAACATAATGTGTTCCATTTAACTCTATAGTATTTCCACCCCATTGCACTATCTTTTATGTATTTGTTTATTTTACTTGTTGTTATAATTGTATATAAAAGTGGGATTAATTGTGCTATATTTATGCATGCATGGAGCATAACATCCATGGACTTGGTTGATCTTCTTAGGGAACTACACAGGCCTCCCAGGATCAGGACTGAGCACGAGTGCTGAGGAAGAGAGCCCTGGTGAGGGGGACAACCTAGTGGGCCCCTTTCTCCTCGCCGGCAGAGCTGAGCCTGCCCTTGTGATCGACTGGCCCAAGGCCCTGATCAGCAGAGCTGTTTTCCAAGGCTACACCTCATCGGGTATGAATGTGCTCTTTGTGTCCTGATTTCCTAGCTGCTTCAGAAAACTCTGGATATCAGCCCTCAATTTCTTATAAAACTTTCCTTTTAGTAGATAAGTATTTGGAGCTGTCCTCCCTCTCCTACTTGTGTCTGTCCACAGCCCAGGGCTCCTTTACCCAGGCTAGAGCTACCTTCTTCTGTACACATGCATCCCCCATCTACAGACTGACGGGGGATGCATATCTGCATGCGCCCAAATGCCTTGGTGTCCACCTTGGTGTGGCTTTTCATAGGTTAGACGAGCCACTTGATGAACCATTTACATGGATGGTTCAAAATGAAGCTGCCCCTCTACAGCAGTTGGGTTTTTGTCCAGTTTTCCCCAGCACAGGCATGAGGATTTTTCCCTATCTGTTGGGTGACTGCCTTTTCTAGTAATAGGTAGCATTAGGCCACTCCCTAAGCTCTGAATCTCACACCATTCTTCAGTGATTTCCTCCTCACTCTTCCTTAAAAAACATTTTGGAAAATACCATTGCAAAATTACAATGTTTGAAAACTATCCCTGTTTATATCATCAACCTTGTTTTCTAGGTCTCTCTTGATTCAAACGTACATGGTATGGGGATCAACCTGTGTCTGCTGAGGAACAAACCAGAACAGTAGGACAACAGTTATACCCAGATTGAGAATTTCTCATAACTAACATTCCACAAAGACTTAAAAATTGCTTTGATATTCCTTAATAATACTTTATAATTTCATAAAATAGCAAAATTGAAAACTGAATATATTGTAAACACATAACATAAAATCTTACCAGCATTCTCTTGTTTCTTGGGAAACTAGTACTGTTTCTGAGCCAGGATGAAAGATCCAACCTCAGTATTGCTTCTACTGGGCAGGAGAGACCTAGAAATAGGATTTCATCTCTTTAGAGAAGGTAGTAAAAATCTAGTGGCATTTCCAAATACAACTTATTTAACTTCATCCCTGGAGCAAGAGCAGAACTTGATGCCTAGGCTCTGCTTGACCCCTGTCCTGCAGGCCACTGACCTTTGCTTCCTTGTGGCTGCCTTCTCTTCTGTAGGTATCACAGAACCTATTGTGACAATAAAACCATACTCACTGAGCAGTGGAGAGACATATGTTCTACAAGCATCTGTGGGTATGTTATGTTGCCAGTTGGATCTTGTGTGGGGTAACCATAAGTGTTTTGGCTGTATTTTCATCTTTTCTTGGAAAGGACAATCACTTGTCACTCCTGCAGACATTTGCACCAGGGTCCTGACTCCCCTTCTCTCCAGATGTCAGTTCCCTGATCCTTTATGTTAGAGAACAAGAGCAGGAAGTGGTTGTGTTTCTGTGATTTACTCTTCCATGAGGAATCAGGCACATGTATAAAACAGGGTAAAGGATTGCCATTTTCTCCCAATGCTTTTGAGTCCAGGACTCACATATTCTAGGCAAGCACACCATACCCCCAGCCCTTTTTATTTTATTTTGAAACAGGCTTCACCCACGTGCATATCATTTCCCAGTGCCCAACATCCCTTCCCACATATATATGACTCATTCTGAGATCATACTTGTAGGTAACTTCTTGATATTTTCCTTTTTAACAAGTACAGAGGATTCAACAATATTTATCTAGAGACCATGTCCACATTTTTGCATTCATTAAAACCCGCCATGCATTTTCAATCTTGTATCATGCATTAACTCTCACATCACCTGAGGAAAAAACTTGAGGTTCATTTTCTTCTGAAACTTGGTAGATGGGGCAAAAATCCCCACAGATCTTCTGGATTCTTACTACCACTGTGAGCCCCTTCCTGCCCCAAAACTAAGCCAAGTCCCTGCTATTTTTGAAGAGGGACAATGCCTGCTTTTGTTTAACAATCTCTCTTGTCCTTCTGCTGGGCCTCTCTCTTGCTTCTGAAATTTGTCTTAATGACAAGCTTATAGCCATTCTTTTTGATAGGCCACATATATTATCAGCGCAGGAGACCCCTGGGAGCTTGTCCATGGGCTTGTTCATGGGCTTATTCAGTGTCCCCTCTTGTTTCCTTTTCCTCTGCCCCACACTCTCCCTGATAGCTTCCTTCACCTGCTATGCTCTTCCCAACACATTAGGCCACTGTGTGACTCTGTCCTTCCCATCAGAGTTATTTTAGCTGAGATGCTCATTCTTATCCTCAGGTCTTTTTCCTAACCAGTTTATAACTTGTACCTTAGGGCTTCTTGCTCAAATGCCTTCTTTCATAGAGATTTTCCTGGTCAGCCAGGTGGAATTAGTCACTTTTTCCTCTTGGATTTTACCTGTATTGAAGGAGCTGCCTTAGATAATAAAACACATAAATAGTGTTAACCCAGCCCTTAATATGTAGCACAGGTTCTCTAGTTCCCTATTGTGACACTTGATGATGATCATTGGCATCAAGATTTTAGAGTTTGACATGCAAATTTCCATCTTATAATTCATATCAAGAAAAATACATTGAAAGATTAAAAGTTTATGCATGAGAGGGCTGGTGGCTTAGAGGTAGAGTGCTCCCCTAGCATGTATGAGGCACTGAGTTCGATCATCAGCACCACATAAAAATAAAATAAATATATTTATTGGGCTGGGGATGTGGCTCAAGCGGTAATGTACTCGCCTGGGTTCGATCCTCAGCACCACATAAAAATAGAAAATAAAGTTGTTGTGTCCACCGAAAACTGAAAAAAAAAAATTAAAAAATTCTCTCTCTTCTCTCTCTCTCTCTCTCTCTCTTTCTCTCTTCTCTCTCTCTCTAAAAAAAGATATTTGTCCACCTATAACTAAAAAGCAAATTTTTTAAAAAAGTTTATGTATGAGAATAGTCATTATAGTGTGACTAATAATAGTAGAATGTGGAAAATAAAATGTTTAATCATTGGGGTATACTGGGATAGCTACTCAACAAATACTTATGATATTAATACAGTTAATGAAATTAGAAGATAAAATTGTATCAGTTAATAAATTCAACTTAGATGTCTTTATGTACATGGCTGAGGCTTAAAGAGAATAGGGGAATGAAACAGGTTTGATTTGTGAGGTGATGTGTCTGTCAGTGTCCTCTCCTCCCAGGTTTTGGTCTCTACTGGTGGGTGTTGTGTGGTTTCTGGGTAGAGAATTGGTCTGTCTCATTTACTGTCATTGCCCAGGGTCTGGGAATGTACCTTCCCCACCTAATAAGCACCCAGTAAATGCTTATTCTATGAATGCATGCTTTAAGGCAGTGTTTTCAAACTCCAGCTTTTGTCAGAAACTCCTAAAAGTCTGTTGAACTATAGACTATTGCATCTCAGTCTTTGATTCAGCAGGTCTGAGGGGAGGCTCAAGAATCTGCCTTTCAATTCCCAGATGATGCAAATGCTGCTGGTCTGAGGACTCCCTTTGAGAACCACTGCTCTAAGTTTTTTGCTATAAAAACTTCTGTTACTGTTGTTTTCCATCCTGGCTCAAAACTCTATCCCATTTTTCTCTTAGCTTCAAAGCAAGACTTACTAGGCAAAGCCCAGCTGTACTTGACAATCAACCCAGCTCCACAGGACATGGCCTGTCATGTACAGCCCCACCATGGTCTGGAGGCCCACACCATCTTCAGTGTGTTCTGCATGTCAGGAAAACCGGTAGGTGGCAGCCCCTTTTATGTACTGAGACCAAAGGTAATAGCAGCTTTTGGAAGTTATGGTGAGCTCTGCATGGCATGCAGTAGGAACTAAGGCCTCTTCTTCCCTTCTGTGAAAGACTTGGGCCTGCAGTCAAATGTTGGAAAGTTGCTCAAGCATGAACGGGACCTTCCCTCTCTCTAATGGAAACAAGGTCAGAATAGCCCCGAGTTTTGAAGGAGAGACAGACTTTCTTACTAGGAACCACAGTGGGATACTCAGGGCTTCTACCATATAATCAGAGCAGGAGTCCCCATTACTGCTGTGCACACAAGCAGGCAGTGAGTAACTCAGAGGAATCTGACCCTGACCCTGGGGCATATCTCTAATTTGGACTTCATTTTACTCTCCTGATTTGGGCAATGGAGAAGGTCACTATGGATATTTTATTTTATTTTATTATAGAAAGTTTGTGACGATTAGAGAGCTGTATGTGAAGGAACAAATGCTTCCTTCTGAGATTGGGTTAGCAAGCTTCCTCTTGAGACTGGGTTGCAGGCTACAACATTGAAATCTTGGTACCATCCTCCCTGTCTTCTTGCTCTATACACTGCCTGTCTCTGCCCTTTTGTTCTGCCTCTGTCACTTCTCAAGAAGCCCACACATGTCCTCAGGAAAGACCAGGCCCGGGTCTTTCCTCAAAGTCTAGTTCCAAAGACCTCTGCTCCTAACAGAGTGTGTGTCCCATCTCCTTTCTCTGTTGTCACTCATGTTTACATGTGCCTAGCTACTGCAGGGGGCAGCAGGATCCTCTTCACCTGGAGGAACCCTTGTCAGTCTGATTCATGACTGACAGGACCTTCAGGCTGGAGAGCTAGCAGACCCTGAGTGAGGAATCTTGTTTTATTCCTGCTTTGGGTCCTTTGGAATAGAGCTCTGTAGGGAAGAATTGTGCAAGCGGGAACCAGGAGAACTCTGCACATGTGTTGTGCAGCTGGAGACCGTGTTTGGCTCTCATTCATTCTGTTTCTGGCTGCAGCATATGTCATTGGGTGCAATGAAGGTTGCAGATGTATATTTATAGATGATGCCATTCAAATGAAGTATCCCATATTTTTTCTCCCCATAGGACTTTCATTATGAATTTAGTTACCAGATAGGAAACACCTCCAAACATACCCTGTACTATGGGAGAGATACCCAGTATTATTTTGCATTGCCAGCTGGTCAGCCCTCAGACAATTACAAAGGTACGTAACAGTGCGAGTTGGATCAAAAGCTCCAGAAATTTTCTCCTGATTTACAAAAGCTAAAAATTTTTTAAAACTGTGTGTACAAATTAAAATTATTTATTCATTTTGATGAGTTTAATGTTTTTTAGGTTAGTTTGATTACCTACCTTTTGGTGCAGGAAGAACATTAGAATAAATATCAGTAAATACACACACACACATACACACACCACACGTTTTAAATTTTAAATGACATATAATGTAGATAATAAAATGCCAAAGAATTTTTATATGAATTAAATAATTAACACCAATCTATTTCTTATTTACTAATGAAATATGCCATATCTGGTGAATCTTGCATTTAGTATAAGTGAAACCAAATCAATGTATGCAGACCAAAAAAATAATGTGAGATAAAGTACTAAAATAATATGAAGTAAAGTAATGTTGAGTTAGCAAATTAATTGTAAATCCTTTGTTAGTCCACTTCTCACTACTATCACAAATATCTGAGATGAATCAAATTAAAAAGAGGAAAAGTTTATTTGGGCTCACAGTTTTGGAGGTTTTAGTCCATAATTCATTGACACCATTGCCTTGTGCCTGTGGCAGCACGGTATATCATGGCAGGAACAAGTGATGTGAAGGCTCATTTACTTCAAGTCTGGGTATGAAAGAGGAAGGAGTGCCCTATGAGAGCACGCCCCCAATGACAGGAAGACTTTCCTCTAGGCCCCACTTCTTAAAGGTTCTACTACCTCTGAGTAGCACCAAGCAAGGGACTAAGCCTTGAATGTATGAACTTTTGTGATGAATTTCATATATAAACTCTAACCCCCAAGCAAAATGAATCCCATAGTGTGGGAAACTTTCTTCTCCTATCCCTGCCCCTGAGGTCCTGTCCATTTCTAAATCAGCACTTGGGAATGGACCTCACCTGAACATATAAGGGATTCTATCATTTAACACGGTACCTGGGTGGGCACAACCCAGTGTGGTTAAATTAGACTCTCCGGGGTGACTGATATTTTTTGTTTGTTTTTTAACTTCTAGACAATTGCTCTGTGCAAGCAAGGTTGAGAGTCACTAATCTAGAAGATTCTTTGAACTGAGTTGGTATAACTTTTTCAGCCCAAGTTCTGAACTAAGTCATGTCCCTGATGTATTGAAATCTCACCTCTCCTTTGAGTCTAGTGAAAGTACCTCTCCTTTGAGTCTAGTGAAAGTACTTTCTGTATGAAATCTTGCCTGTCACCTCCAATTAAAACATTTGTACTTTCTTCTAGATTCTAGTCAAATTGAGCAAAACTTTCCTGAGCATGGTGCAGTTGTGAGCTTTCTAATCATGTTCCACTTTGTATGTGATGCCTTTGTACTTCCATCTGAGCTTGAGGTTTGGTGAAGTCAAGCAACAAAAGGCTAGTACAGTAGATGTTGACTGAATGGTTGATTTTGACTTTCATGAGCTTGCCCTGATAAATCATTAAATGCTAAAATTGCATTTAACTTCTGTCCTTTGGAAAGTATTCTCATGATGGATGCTCATCCCAAGCTCCCCCAAGTCTCAGTAGAGGGTCCGAAGCCAGAAATGTATGTTAAGAGCTTGGTCAGAGCAGAATGTGTCCTTCAGACAAGGAGGCCCAAACCTCCATAGCAACCTTCTTATATGAAGACCTGGCATGTCCCTCCCCTGAGAGCTGCATGTGGGGTATGAGGGGCCTCTGTCCGCAAGGCCTGCCACAGACCATAGAGCTAGGCAGATATCCAAACAGAAGAACTTGGAGCAGGGCCTGAGCACCATGTTGACAAAAATTTTTAGAATCAAATTTCAAGTCACAGTCCCAGAGTAGTGTCAGGGTTAGTGATGGTACTCAGGTCCTTCACAAGTGTGATTTTGCTTCTAATGTTCATGATTATCATAATCAATTTCTATGAATATCTGCATTCAATATTAGATACATAATTAGATACAAAATTAGATACATAATGCATACCTTTTTATGTTCCATCTTTTGCAAAAATTAATATGGCACCTACTAAGTGTGTAAAATTGAACAGTCTTACCCCAAACCTACTTTTTTCTCTCATATTCTGTATCATGATTCATAGGACCAACATTTTATGCAGTGGGGGATTTATAATATTGGAGCTTTGCCAGGCACTGTAGTGCACATTTATAATCCCAGTAGCTCAGGAGGCTGAGACAGGAGGATCACAAGTTCAAAGCCAGCCTCAGCAACTTAGGGAGACCCTAAACACTCAGTGAGACCCTGTCTCTAAACAAAATACACAAAAAAAGGCTGAGGATATGGTTAAGTGGTTAAGTGTCTCCCTGAGTTCAATCCTTGGTACCAAAAGAACCCAAAAAACAAAATTGGAGCTTCCAGGGGCTCACATAATATTTACTGACTCAGAAATATTACTGGGGAAAAAGCAGAACCTAAATTTTCTTGTAGACAAGCTTTCCAGTGATGCAGGTGTCTGGGACCACATCTTGAGAAGAAATGACCTCTAAAATTAAGTTCCCAAACCCTTAGCATTGGGATTCAAATTGAAGATGTTATGAAGACACCACGGTGCATAGATCAACACACCATGTATCTTCCTGTATAAGTCACATATCTGCACCTATGGCCCTCACCACTTGATCACCACCCATACTCTGAGCTCATCTGCAGGTCTCCTCAGCATACCTGGAGCTGTTACCACATGGAGGGATTCCTAAGACCCAGTAGAGCCATTTCCTGCCACATTCCTATGTCTTCATGCAAACTTCCTTCAGTTAGACTTTGTCTTCACCTTTCTTCTAGACCTGTTAGATCTATACACGTCATTTAGGAACTGATTAAAATATTACCCCAGCCCTTGATGGACCATCAGGGAGACTATATTTCACTCTGTGAGCTCCCCGTGGCCCTGGCATTCACCCTAATTCAGCACTCCTCATGTTGCTAGTGGACAGGATTACTTGTAGGGTACAGACAATCCTTTTTGGTCATAACCTCCTATCCTGCCACAGGCTCACCTTTTGTGGGTCAAATGAGTGAAAGGGGGAGCATGTGAATAAATGAGTCATTCCCTGACACCCACAGCACACAATGGTGCCTTCTGCCTACCAACTCTCTGTGACACCTCGTGTCTTCCCTGTCTGATTGGCACTCAGTGCCTTGTACTGATGCTCAGATTTTATGTTGGGGTGTGAGATCTTCCCAGAAATGGAGAACCTGAAGTACCACTCCCATGCCTTGCCTTATTTTAGTAGCCCTTGAAGCAACCGTCATCATTCCATCATATGGATCTGCTCAAAGGAGATTCTATTTGCTGGTTTGTTGGTAACTACAGTGTAAGCACCTTGAGAGGGCAAACAGCCTGCAATTTCCTCTCATCCTGCGCTTTGCAGGACTAAGCTCATCCACCTGGTGCTGCTCAGTTGCTGTCAGGGTGTGAAGAGGCATCTCTGTAGCCACCTATTCAGGATGACCCTCCTGTCATGTTCTCTCATAGTCATGGTTTCTACTGAGATCACAGACAGCAAAGGCTCCAAGGCACTGGCGTGCTCTGTGGCGGTGACCGTGCTGCCCCGTTTCCATGGGAAAGACTGCCTCAGCGAGGACCTGTGAGTATCACACGACACAGACATCCAAAGCAGTGTCCATATTTCCTCAGGGGACAGCAGCAAGGAAGAGTGGCAGGAACTGATTTCAGGATGGGCAAAGGGAGAAGTTGGGGTTCTGTCACTATAGTCCTGTTGACTCACCTTTCTGTGGCATCTGTGCCAGTGCTTCAGAACCCATGACACACTTTTTTCTTTCTTTAGAACTGTTTTATGAAGGTATCATTTACCTGTTATATAGTTCACTCACTAAAGGTGTGCGATTCCTTGGTTCTTAGTACTCTTACAGAATTGTACAATCTTCAGCACAATCTAGTTTTAGACAATTTTCACGACCATAAAATATATTTATTATAATGTGCTCATTAGTTGCCGCTCCTCTACCCACACCACTATCTTTAGTTTCCTCCTCCCAGCCCCAGCCCCAGCCCCAAGTAGAAACTAATTTTACATCATGTCTACCAATTTGCCTATTCTTGGAATTTCAGTGGGATGATATGAAATGTGATTTTAATAACTGTTTTTCTTCATGAATGTTTCTGAGTTTTATCTAGATGATCATATATTAGTACCTTGTTCCTTTTTATTTTTGAATATTATTTATTGTATAGATATATCACATTTTGGTTTTTTTATTTTTAAATTAATGGACATGTGGGTTTTTTCCCCACACTTTGGTTCTATAACAAACCATTCTGTTCTAGGCATTCTTGTGTGAGATTTTGTGTGCAGGGTTGCTGTCAGTTCTCTTGAGTAGATAACTAGAAGTGGAACCACTGGTAACTCTGATAACCATGCATAACTTCTGATAACACTGACAACCATGATAAGTCTAGTTTTAGCATTTAGAAAAATGCCAAAATATTTTCCAAAATGGCTGCACCCTTTTGTATTCCCACCAGCACTGGATGAGGGTACATCCTAACAAACACTGGTTGTTGTCTGCTTTTTGATTATGGCTATTCTAATGAGTGTCATTGAAGTTTGGATTTTCATTTCCCTATGCTCTTATGATGCTGAGCATCTTTTCATGTGCTTTGGGTATCTTCCTTCTAGATGTTTATTCATCCACTTTGCCCATTTTTGATTTGAATTATTTTTGTTCTTATGATTAATTTGTGGGAGGTTTTCTTGTAGGCATTGCATACAAATTCCTTTAAAGATATGATCTACAAATGTATTCTCTCAGTCTCTTTTCATTTCACTTTCTTGATTGTCCATTGAAGAATGAAAGTTTTTGAAGACCCTACTTAATTTTGAGTGGTCTAATTTAATTATCTTCTCTTTTATTCCTTGTGTTTTTTATGTCAATCTATGAAATTACTGCCTAGTGAAATAATACAAAGACTACATCTGTATTTTTTCTTAAGAGTTTTTGTATTTTTAGGTCTTACATTTAAGTTTATGATCCACTTAGAGTAAATTTGTATGTGTATGTGTGTATATGTGTGTGTGAGTTTGTGTGTGTGTGTGTGTGTGTGTGTGTGTGTGTATAGGGCTCCACCTGCATTCTTTAGCATATGAATATCCAAACTTCTAAGCACAGGTTGTTGAAAACTGTTTCCTCCACAGAATTGTCTTTGGCTTTCTGTCAAAAATCAACACCACATGTTGGGGTTTATTTCTGGATTCTCCATTCTGTTCAATTTTCTAGATATCTCTTTTACACCAATGCTATGTTTTTTGATTACTGTAGTTTTGTAGTAAACTTTGGAACGGAGAAGCCTGAACCCAATTTTGTTATTTCTTCATAAGATCGGCTATCCCAAATTCCTTGAAGTTCCACATGACTTTTTAAAAGCATCTTGTTAGTTTCTGCAAAAGCAAAACAGAGCATAGGTGCCACAGTGACTGGTGTTGGCCACCCTCTCTCTTGCTCCAACTTAGCCTGCCCTTCCTAATACTGTGGGCTAGGGCTACCAACACCTATGAAGGTGTTAAAAAAAAATAAAACAAAGCAAAAGCTAACTAGGATTTTCATAGGGATATTCTAGAATATATAGATCAGTTTCAGAAGTATTACTATCTTAACATTAAGTCTTCCGATTCATGGACATGGGATGTCTCCTATTTTTTAGACCTTTAATTTCTTTCAACAATGTTTCATAGTTTTCAGTAGGCACATCTTGTATTTCTTTTTTAGAGTTTATGAGTATTTCACTATTATTGATGTCATTATAAGTGGAATTATTTTCTTAGTTACATTTTTGAATTTTTATTGTAGTAGATAGATCAATAATTGATTTTGCATATTGATCATGTATCCTATAACCCTGCTAAATATGTTTATTTCAGTAGATTTTTTAGCACTTCCTCTGGAGCTTTCCATATATAAGATTGTTTCATCTATAAATAGAGACTGAAACACTTTGATCTTTCCAGTCTGATGCCTTTTATTCCTTTTTTCTTGCCTGATCAGTTCTTGCTAGAACCTCCAGTTTAATGATTAGGGGGAAGCATTCAGTGTTTCACCTTGTGTTTAGTATGGTGTTAGCTATAAGTTTTTTGTAGGTGTTTGTTATTGGGTTGAAGATGTTCCCATCTATTCCTAGTTTATTGGGTGTTTTTAATCATGAAAGTATGTTGAATTTTTTCAAATGCTCTTGCTAGGCCTATTGATGTGATTATATGGTTTTGGTCCTTTATTCTAATTAACAAGTTGATAAGGTTTGGATACTTGGGTTCCTGCTGACACTTTATTTCCAGTGTAACAGTATCGAGGTTGGGGGGTAGGTAGGGGGCTTTGACCATCATGAATGGAATTAGTACCCTTTTAAAAGGGCTGGAATGATCCATTTAGGCCCTTGTTGCCCTTGCATCTTCCACATGAGAATGCAGTGTTCTTGCCCTCTTGAGGAAGCAACAGGGTGCCATCTTGGAAGCAGAGAGCATCCCTTACCAGACACTCATCCTGTCAGTACACTGATTCTGAACTTCCCAATCTCCAGAACTGTGAGAAATAAATTTTTGTTCTTCCTATTTCATCCAGTTTCAAGGCTTTTGGGGGCTGGGGCTGGGGCTCAGTGGCAGAGCGCTTGCGTTACACATGTGAAGCACTGGGTTCGATCCTCAGCACCACATTAAACAAATAAATAAATAAAGATTTGTGTCCATCTATAACTAAAAAATATTTTTTAGAAAAGAATTTTGTCATAACTTTCCAAACAGATTAAGACACAAGTTATATTTATATATGATCATTTTTCACATGTTGAATCACTTTTACATTTCAGGAATATATCCCATTGGTCCTAGCATATAATTCTCTTTCTGTGTGGGTGGATTTGGTTTTTCTAATATTATACTTCGGAGTTTTGTGTCTACATTCGTAAGCACTATTGGCTGGTAGTTTTCATTTCAGCTTTGCCTTTGTCTGGCTTTACTGTCAGAGTAATACTGCCCTCAGTCTATTTACAAGTGTTCTTTTGTATTATTTGGAACATTTTGTGAGGATGAGTATCAATTCTTCTGTGAACATTTGATAAAAATTATGAGTAAAATTATCTACATCTGTATTTTCTTTTTGGAAAGTTTTAAAATTACTAATGTATTCTCATAGTTTTAGTCATTTGTTTCTTTTAGAAATTTTCTCATTTCATCTACATTCTGTAATATTTTGGTGACAGGATTTTTTAAAAGAATAGAATTGCATTGTAGTCTTTTTTATCTCTATATGGTCAGTAGTGATATTCATTTTATTCATTATTTTAATAATTTCATTATTTTCATTTTGTGTCTTTGTCAGTCTAGCTAAAGATTTGTCAGCTTGGATGATCTTTTCAAAGAACTACTTAGGGTTTCACTGATTTTTTTTTCAATTTCATTCATTCCTGAACTAATCTTTAACATTCCTTTTCTTCTGCTTGTCTGGGTTTAGTTTGCTTTTCTTTTTCTTGTTCTCTATATGGGCTAATGATTTGATATCTTCTTTCAGACATTTGTAGCTATAAATTTCACCCCAAGCACTACTTTAACTGTATCCCAGTTACTTTCCTTCATTAATTTCAAAGTGTTTTGTCATTTTCCTTTCTGCTGCTTCTTGAACCATTGATTCTTTATGAATACGTCATTTAATTTTCACATATTCATGAATTTGCCAAATTTCTTTTTGTCTTTGATTTCTAATTTAATTCCATCATGGTCAGAGGATGTACTTTGTATTATTACAATAATTTAAATTTTATTGAGTTTTTTAATGCCTACATATATGGTATATTCCAAAAAAAATCCTTTACTTGAGAAGAATGTGTATTCTGCTTTTGGGGGGTAAAATGTTCTGTGGATATCTGTTTGGCCTATTTCCTTCATGTTATTGTTTTACTCTTACAAAGATTTATTGATTTTCTTTCTTGTTTTTCTACCCATTATTGACAGTATAATTTAATTTTTTTTTCCTTTCCCTATAGGTCTGTTGGTTTTTGCTTCATGTGTACAGCATCTGTTGTTAGGTCCCTATATATTTATATATTTTTTAATCTTCCTAATATTTTATCATTGGGAAATGTTCTTTATCACTAATACTTGTTTTTGTCTTAATTTATTTTTAGTCTGATATAAATATAACCTTTCTAGGTGCCTTATAGTATCTGTTTGTATTTATGTCTTTTTCAACCTACATTTATCCTTTAGTTGGATCTTATTTTCGTAGCCAGCCTTTTATTCCCTATCTTTTGTCTGGATTGTGTGACACATTCACAGTTTTTACTATTATTAGAATCATTGAATGTAGGGTTTACTATTTTACTTTTGTTTTCTATATGTCCCATGATAATTTTGTTCCTCTCTTCTTCCTTTATCATCTCCTTTTTTCTTAAAAGAATATTTTGTATTGTACCATTTTAACTCCCTTAATGATTTTTTTACAAATATTTGTTGTAGATGGACACAATACCTTTATTTTATTAATTAATTGCCATGTGGTGCTGAGGATTGAACCCAGTGCCTCATACATGCTAAGCAAGCCATGTGCTCTACCACTAAGCCACAACCCCAGCCCTCCCTTAAGGATTTTTAAGTATATTTTTCAGATACTTGTTTAGTTGTTGCTCTAGAGCTTACAATTTACATCTTAGCTTATTAGAAACTTCTACAAACTAATATTAAATTGCTTCCAGTTATATATAGAAACTTACACCTATATAGCTCCATTTTCTCTTATTTTTGTGAAGTTATTATTATGTAAACAACTTATATTATGCTATAATACAGTGTTATGACTATTCTTTTATATAATCTATTTTTAGAGAAACTAGAAAAGAAAAAAGGGTATAATCTATTTTAATAAGTGTTTTTAAAGTATATTAATCTTCTTATTAGTTGTCTTCAAGTATCCCTGTAAGTTCAAGTTGCCATTTAGTGTCACTTCACTATTCAATATAGCTTCATCCCCACCCCCATTCTTAATGTTGTTATTGTTATATTACCTTTCTCTGCATTATGGGCCCAACAATAACATTTTATAGATATTATCTCATGCAATGGCTTTTAAAATAAGTTAAGAATGAAAAATGTGATTTATGGATTTAATGATGTCCAGCATTTTCATGAGTCTGTTCATTTTTTTTCCTACTGTTTTATTTCTGTGGCTCATGGTCTTTATTGTTCTATCCTCAAATTTGTAAATTCTTTCTTTTCTCAAACCTACTTTTGAACCTTTCTAGTGAATTTTTCATTTTGATTATTGTACATGCAACTCTAAAATTTCCATTTGGTTCTTTCTGTATCATAAATGTATTATTTTATCTCTTTATTAATGTTCTCTGTTTAATTCTTTATTGTTATGCCTTTATTTATTTTTTTTAGGAGGGGTGGGTACCAAGGATTGAACTCAGGGGCACTCGACCACTGAATCACATCCCCTGCCCTATTTTATATTTTATTTAGAGACAGGGTGTCACTGAGTTGCTTAGGGTTTTGCTAAATTGCTGAGGCAGGCTTTGGACTCATGATCCTCCTGCCTGGCTATTTAATTTTTAAAATATGGTCTTCTTTAGCTCTTTGAACATATTTATAAAAGCTGCTTTGAAGTATTTGCTAAGTCCAACATTCAGGTCTTCCCAAAGACAATTTTTATTGTTTGCTTATCTTTCATGTGTTTTGGCTATACTTTAAGTGTCTTTGGGTATCTCATGATTTTTCATTGAGAATTGGATATTTTAGATAAATATATCATGATCACTGTGGGTATTGACCCATTCCTTTTCTCTGGGCTTGTTTTTGTTTGTTTGGCTTATTTATTGACTTAGCAAGACTACTACTGTGAAGTGTATTTCCCTCTTTGTGTAGCCCATGGTGTTTCTGCTCAGATTTATTTGCGTGTTTTTATCTTCAGTCTGGATTCCTATAGTCTTGGTCTCCATTAATTAGTCATTACTCCTTTGGTCAAATGTGTGCTTAAGCATACATGCTAAGTGTTCACACAACATTTTTTAATAAATTGGAATTTCTATTTTACACATTTGGAAACTGAGGCTCATTTATTCTGGTAAATGTTGCTCTGAAAGTGATACAACAAAGAAATTGCAGGGCAAGGGCTGGAACTGACCATTGACCTTGAACACTAGACTATTTTCAGGGCTTCCTGTTGTCTTTCCAAGTGCAAATAACTGAAATATACCATTTTTAAATAAATAAACTAATACCCAGTTGTTGAAATCTGAAGTCATTAACTTGTAATTTTACCAGAAACCACAAGTACAGTATGCATATCCACTCCGTTGTGCATCTGAGCATTAATTACCAACTCTGAATTATTAGGATGCTGTGAAACTTCATCCAGCTGTAGCCTCTGTGGTATCTCTGGACTACATTTCCTCACCTGACATGATATTTCTGTATCCGTACCTGTGTGACTTCTTGAGCCCTTTTCAGTTCTAAACAAAGGGTTTTATGGGAGTTTGACAGGATGTCTTTTCTCTGTACAGACCAATTCTCCTTTGTGTCATACTCTTTCTTTCGGGAATCACCCAAGACTAAATTCCATTCCACCCTTAGTCGGCAAGATGAATAGTTTTACAGTGTGTCCGATCATGATAGTTCTGTGTTTTCTTCAGATATAATTCCAGTCTGAAAAACCTGTCCACCCTTCAGCTGATGGGGAGTTACATGGAAATGAAGAACTATGTCACCATGATCACTGGGATCCTGAATCGTTTGGTTAAGGAGAACAGAAATACATCATGTGGTCAATGGTCACAAATACAGGATGCATTGATTTCTTCTGTATGCAAATTAGCTTTTGCAGATCAGGTATGGCCTAGAGCATGGTGAGGGCAGGGTCTGTAAACTTGTGTCAGGTAGTGGGTTCATGGCTGTTTGACTCCCAGGAAGTAGTCCTACTGATGAAACACAAGCAAGAAAGGTGACCAGGTAGGCAGCCAGCTTGGCTCCCATACACGGGTTTGATCTCTCTTGCCTTCTGACATGTCTTATAAATGAACACTGCAAGTCAATCATATCATAATAGATAATTCCTCTAGTGTAAGTTAAAATTCTGTAAATCCAATCTGATTTTATCTTGTTGACTATAATATCCTTGATAGTCATTATTTTATGCAACTTCTTATGAAATGATGATATAATCAAAGGTTACCATCTTTGTTCACATTTCTGCACCTCTGTCTTATAATGGGCACTAGAGATCATTCACATCTACAAAAAAACTATCTTGTTTCATTGTAAGATTCTTCACTTGAACTACTGTTTTTCTTCCTTCATCATTCTCTCTGAACTTTTCTCAAAGTTTCAATTAGTTCTGTCCCTTAATTTCCTTCTCTTTCATGTCAGTTTCCTGATGAGATATGTGAGACTGGCTAGAGGCACATAGGAAGAGGCATGTTAAACTAAAAAGAGAACTCAAACAGGGGTCCTGGTCTTACTGGAGAAGGGCTGGCTCCAGGTCATCTCTTAGTTGAAAGCATAAATTCTGCTCTACTTTTACATAAGCAGGCTGAAACTGAACTAATACACTAATTTCTTTTTTCTTCTTTGTTCCTTTATTGTTTACTTGATTTTGCTGTTCAGGAAGAAATAATTCATTCTGTTCTTATGTTGAGAAATCTTATAAGCTTCTCTAATAAGGTAAGTGCTATTTATTTTCATGTTTTATTTTCCTGTTTTTTTGCATAATTAGGAGGCCATGATCATTTTTTTATTATTTTTAACGTTTTGGTACTGGAGATTGAACCCAGGGATGCTGTACTGCTCAGATACATCCCCAACTTTTATTTTTTAGTTTGAGTGACCAAAAACTTGCAATCCTCCTGCCTCAGCCTTCTGAGCCACTGATATTGCCAGCCTGTGCCATGTTGCCCCACCATTATCAGTTCTTGAAAAATATTCTGTTTAGAGTTATATTTTGACACTTAGATTATAAACATGACTTTCTCCTAAGAATTCATTGGGATTGTGCATCTCCAATCATAGCTGAAGAATTTCTTTATTTCTATAGAAATTTGGAAACCCAAAGTAAAAATGATTAAACATAAGAGCTATTGATGCTAGGAATCAATTGGTGAAAGAGACATTATTTATTATTAATGCATGTTTTGGATTTTCCTATCTCCCTGCATTCTTTTTTTCTTCTTCTTCAAATCTCTGATGCTCTGCTGTGCCCCCTTCAACAGGTGTTCTAACTCTGCCACACTTTAGAGAGCCCATGGGAGTTTCTCATTGCCACCAGTCTACAAGATGGGTGAAACCACACCCACCTCCCACACTCAGTCACCATAGCAATGATTCCCTACCTCCAGCAAGCATCTGTCCCTTGTTTTATGTTCAGAATCCCATTCAGGGCCACCTCATAGTGCCTTATTTCAGCCTGGGTGACAAATGCTTCTTATGGTCAAGCTGTGCCCAGCCTGAGTGCCTGCTGCTGGTGGTCCTGCCTCCCTCCCATTTTGCATTTTTGGGATTTTTCACCTTGGGTTAAGCTTTCCCTTTGTGGCTTTTTTCCATTTTTCCCTCTGCCAAATGATACCCAATATGCTTAATAATCTCATTTTTTTTAAATCACTGTCTTCCATCTGGTCCCTCATTTCTAGGCACCTCTTTATAGCACAGCATTCAGAAAGTGAGTTCTGAGCTTGCTGTGGCCTATACTAGTTGTCCATCCTGCATTTTTAAACTGTCAAATTTGTGCTTCCATCTTCTTATCAACACTGCTAGTGCTTTCATCAAAGTCACTTGGATCCTCTCGATACCAAGTTCACTGGACTCTTCTCCTCACCATCCTCTCCCTCAGAGGACATTCTGTGTGGGTCTTGCCTTTCATTGGAGCTCACTTATCTTGGTTTCATGACACGTTTTCTTGATTGGCCACAATTGCCACCAGTCTGCAAGATGGGTGAAATCACACCCACCTCCCACACTCAGTCTCCATAGCAATGATTCCCTGCCTCCAGCAAGCATCCATCCCTCGTTTTATGTTCAGAACATAGTAGGATGACCCCTTCCCTACCCATCCATGTTGATGTGGTCAGTGTTCAGGGTTCTGGTTCATGACTACTAGACCTCTATGTCCACACCTTCTGTCTGGGTGCTCTCATCTAGTCCTTTAACCCTAGATGGAGATGATAATCACTCCACATCTTATGTCTTCTACCCACACTCTCTCAAGTGCTTCAGTCCCATGCATATAACTACCCACCTCACATTTCCATGAAGGTAAACACTGTGCTCACGCCCAACATGACAAGGTGGAGCTCTCCTGATCCACTCCTCACCTCACCCTCCCCAGCTCTGGACAAGGTAGCACTGTACACCTGAACTGCTGTGAAAACCCCAGTGTCACCTCAGTGTCCTCCCTTTTCCTCATCCAATAACTTACAATTGAGTCTTGGTAGTTCCTCTTCAAAAACATAGCCAGACTCTTCCTGCCTCTTCCATCTCTACTGCCCACCTCTCTAACCTAAGGTCAGAGCCTGTTTCCCCCAGGCTAAGCATCTCTCTCACTGTTCTCTCTGCCTCCTCTCTTGCCACCTTATAACGCATGTCATAGAGCAGCCAGAGGATCATTATGCAAGCCTGACCCAGTTGATGCCACTCTCCTGCTGAACACTCTTCCATGTCTTCTCATAGCACGTTGGCTCCTTCTTACCTGTCACTTCTCCTCTCATGTTCTTTCTGTTCTCCCATGATCCTTGAGACTTGTTCTGGCTCAGAGTCAGTATGGTAATCCCTCTTACTGCCATGCCGACTCCTTTGTTCATCAAATAGCTGAAATCTTTCCTTTGACTCTCAGCTCAAATATAACTTCCTCAAGAGAATCATCCTTCACCTTCTCTTCTTGTTACTTGGGTTATCTCCTTCAGTATTTTTACAGTCAACATCCATCTCACTTCTTTATTACCCCTCTTTACTCACTGGAAAACTTCCATTGTAAACTCCACAATGGCAGGAACACAGGTGTGAAATGAATAAATAAATGAGTCATAGTAGGATGGCCCTATCCCCTTCCCTACCCCTCTTGCTCATCTCATCCTCCTCATCTTAAATTGCTCTACTACAAGAATCACCATTCTGGGAAGGAAGGCTGAGTTCCCTTGGCAAAGACCCTCCTCTCTTTGATAGGCTGTCTTCCTAAGGCATATCTGGCCTATCTCCTATTTACTGTAAAATAAATGGTTCCTGGTCCTATGAGGATAAAATTTAATCCTTCTGCATATTGTTTAAGGACTCTACCTGGTTTCAACTCACTTTGCACCTCATATTCAATATCTCCTGATGTAACCACCTTTCACCTTCATTCACTCTTGATTTTCCTAATGTCCCTGAAATAATAAGTTTTTTCTTAACACAGAAAATGTTATTTCCTATCCTGGGAAATTATTACTTTCTCTTGAAGGCTAGATTCAAATGCCACAATCTCCATGAAATCTTCAGAGCTCCAAAAGCAGGTTTCATTTTATTCTAGATAAATTTTGCACATGACTTTATTATAGCACTTTAACACTTGATTTGTAATATTTATTTATTTATTTTGGTACATCTGTCTTCTGACTTGACTAAGCCTCCTAAGATACAAACTGAATTAGTTGAAGTAATGTCAGCTGCTATAACAAATAACCCTGACATCTCAGTAACAGAATACATAGAAGTTTATTCACTCACACATGTTCAGTGTTCAGTAGGTATTCAGTACAGATCTTTCCCATGAGGACTCAGTGGCTCCAGCTCTTTTCCTCTTGTGCTCCAAATATCCCAATATTTCCCCAGTCAAGGAAATAGAAAGTGGAGAAGGTCCACCATTTGTGGATAATGATGTCCTGGAAGTGGCATGCCTCATTCCATTCACATTCTTTTGGTGAGCAATGGTCACACAGCCTCACCTGAACTCCAGGGACCTGGGACATGGAATTACTGCCCAGCAATGACCCTGCACAGAGCTCACAAGGATGAATCTGGTGGAGATCAAACCACCTCTGCCACAGTCCCTCTCTCTTATGTCTCTGAACACTACAGTCTGTTGCAAGCAGTTTGGGGCTTTAAGTGATAAATAAAATTGAACATGATTGACATTTCTAAAGTAACTATTTCTGAAATTTTTGGTTTAAAAGTGGGAAGTGTGAAAGTGGGCATATATGTCCTCTGAGGCATTTTTTGAATTTCTGATGAAAGATGATTTATATTTTAAGTCCTATTTTGATGGTAAGTAACCTTTTGGGTGGGGCCCTTATTAAGTAGTTTAAATATACTTCCAAACTAATTTTATTGTTGTTAGGAGAATTTGATTTTAAAAGGTATTTTTAAGCTGTATTTTAGTTAAATAAGTATGACTATAAAAAAATAGAATGGTAATTTCACATCATTGCACACACATTTGTTTATCAACTTCTGGGAGCTACTAAGGAACAAAAAAGAAAAGATATAGTCCTTATCTTTTAGGCATTAATGAATGACATTAAACGTGGAAACATATACTTCAATAAATATGCTGAGTCCCATACATAGGATAACCACAGAATTCTGCAGAAATAGGCAACAGTGAAGCTAACTCCAGTACACATTTAGAGTTGGTTTAAAAACATAAGTAGGAAAAACTCATAATTTTTTTAGATGTAAAAATGGCATTGTGAACCAGCTTTTAGAGAGTTCTTACCTATCAGCAAAACATGTTAAAAATTCATGGGTAAACATATGTGAGATTTACTTTTAAATATTTGTAAAAAAAAAAAACTGAGTAAGGAATAAAAGAAAAAATATTGTCAGTTGAAGGATAATTTTTGAAGGTGGGTGACAGGTGACTGTGTGACTCTACTATTCATTCTCTCAACCTTTGTGTATATTTGAAAGTGGTCCATAGTCACAGTTTAGAAAGAGAGAGAAAGAAAAGGAGGATTTTGCTGGGTAACAAGAGGTTAAAAGTATTGCAGATAGGAGGACTTATGTATTTCATAAGGTGCTAGGAGAAAGCCTTCATTATTTGGGAGAAATGACTCAACATAGAACATATGTGGGTGATAGGAAAAGAGAAGAGGTTGGGACCATTTTGTGAAAGGATTTGTGAGCGAATTTTAGGGTTCAACCTAAGTAACATTTTAAAGCATAAAGGTCTGTTAAGAACAATCTGATTTCCTTAGTCATTTTATGTGTGGAAAAACTAAATGACAGAGAACAAACTGTTATTAAGGAATCTGACCAGTAGAGATGAAATGTGAGCTTGATTTAGTTCTTCTGACCCCAAGTTCAATAATTTTAATTCTCAATAATAATGAAAGAGGCAGAAGCATATGTATTGTATGCTTGGAAAGATTTTATTTACATCTCTTCTTTCCACAAAGTTAAGCTTTTTGAGTGCAGTGCACATTCTCAAGTACACGCGGTCACTCCTTGCTCAAGGACAGCTCTTGGGAAGGTTTGTGGTTGACAGACAACTCAGGCTAGAACTTATCCTTCTCATCTCTGGAGTCTGGGAAGCCTCGGCACAGGAAAAATTTAGAAATGAGAACTATCTACAAGAAGAAGGAATGAAGATTATCTCAGATGTATTATTGGTAAGTTAGATTTTTTTCCTCTACTCATCTGCTGTCATATATAACAAATTAGAATAAATAAAAAAAGAAAGAATGCTAAGAGAAACATAATGGGTTGGTATGTTATCAGTAGAAGAATTTAATTATTTAGAAATTAAAAATGCAAATGTTTTAATTTAACAATAAAAATTTTATAATGTCAAAAACAAACAATAGAAACAGCTTCTGGGCTAAGAATGTAGCTTACTGGTAGGGTACCAAGAAACAACAACAGGGGTTGGGGATGTGGCTCAAGCGGTAGCGTGCTCGCCTGGCATGCATGCAGCCCGGGTTCGATCCTCAGCACCACATACAAACAAAGGTGTTGTGTCCACCGATATCTAAAAAATAAAATATTAAAAAATTCTCTCTCTCTCCTTCTCTCTCTCTCTTTAAAAAAAAAAAAAGAAAGAAAGAAACAACTACAGTGAAGTAGCTGTTCCCCTCTCCCAGATTTAACCTGCATTTGTAATTGCTTCTCACAATTGAAAGTAGAATCGTTTTCTGAAGAACTGTGATTACAATTCTAGGTGGTAGATTGGTATTTGGAAATTTTTTTTTAAAGGCAATGATTTCATTTTTTTTAACCTTCATTTTATTTATTTTTTTGTGGTATTGAGGATCAAACCCATTGCCTCACAATGCTAGGCAAGCGCTCTACCTCTGAGCCACAACACCAGTCCAAATTTTTTATTTGAATTTTAAGAGTTTTGTGGTACTTGTGTAATGTTCTCAATGTTTGATAATTTACATTTGGAATACTTGGAAAGATTTTGGACTTAGAAACATCATTCCTTGGGGTACCTTCAATTCTTTTGAGGAATGATATGAAGTAATGCAAACAATTATACACATTAACTTAAAAAGTAGCCCTGCTGATCGATAACTGCTTTAAAAAATTCCACAGTTTATTTCACTTATTTCTGCTTCAGGAGCTTTGGAAAATTATAAAAGACAGTTTGTTTGATTGTTTTTTTCATCTTATGAAATGGCCAGTGCTTTCAGGAAGGAGTGAGTTAGTGAATGGGGCTTTGGTCTCTCTTCTCCTACAATCTATCATCCCTGTCACCCAGGTCTCCTTGTTTATGTAACTGGTAACTGCTGGAATTAAATAAATACTCTACTTGAATCTGCTAATAATTGTCATTACACATTAGCATGCTGTGTTACAGCGTTTTATCACTGTGACCAAAATACCTGGCAAGAACAACTTAAGGGAGGAAAAGTTTATTTGGGGCTCATGTTTCAGAGGTTTAGTCCCTGGCCATCTGACTCTATTGCTTTGGACCTGAGTGAGGCAGAACATCATGCAGAAGGCATGGCAAAGGAAAGCTGCCCAGCTCATAGCAGCAGAGAAGCAGAAAAAGAGTCAGGAACAAAATATACTCTGAGGTCATATCCCTAGTGGCCCATTTCCTCCAGCCTTGTCCCACCTGCCTACAGTTTCCACCCAGTAGTTCATTCAAATTATTAATCCAATTGATGTATTAATCAACTGATATGATTACAGCTCTCATAATCCAATCTTCACTGGATTATTGCTATGTTGTATAACACATGAGCTCTTTGGGGAACACTTGTAGATCCAAATCACAACACATATTTAAAAATGGGTAATAAGTCCTAGGGCCCTATGGTCAGGTTAACTATCAAGTCTCCAAGTTTTAAAAATGATCATGTATAGCTGGGTGCAGTGGCACATGCCTGTAATCCCAGTAACTTGGGAGGCTGAGACAGTGAGATAGCAAGTTCAAACGTAACATCAGCAACTTAGTGAAGCCCTAAGCAACTCAGTGAGACCCTCTCTCTAATAAAATATGAAAAAGATCTGGGATATGATTCAGTGGTTAAGCACCCCTGGATTCAATCCCTGGTACCAAAAAAAAAAATGAGCATGGTATTAAAACATTTTTGATGGACTAGGATCCTCTAAGAGCATAGAAATCATTTAAAGAATGAATAAAAGTCACAAAAAGGGTTTGCTTAAACAAAAGAAATCAGTTTGTCTTTTATTATTTGCCATTTTAGTTCCTGAGCAAATATTTTCTCAGGCAAATGAATCCAATCTACCTTTAGACAGGTTATCCTGGAATGACTTTTCACCTCTCCTTGTCTGCATTCAGGTCAGTTTGCTTATTTGCATGTAAGTATGTGGCTCTCTGTGTTTCAGGGCTGTCTTTCCTTGAGCCATCAGAATCATCTCATTGTGAATACTGGGCAGATGGAGTTCCAGACCCTTCTTCATCACAACCTTCGGCGCTCCATCCAGAACCTGGGCTCTGTCCAGGTGTACTTACCTGGTGACCTGACAGGGCACAGTTCTGCTCAAGAGGGAATGCAGAGCCTGTGCTACATAAGCCAGCTCGTGTTCTTCAAGAAAAACCCTTATCCAGAAGCAGGAGCACCTGGGAAGGTACAGGACAGTGGCAAACTGCCATTTTTAATGATCATTTCAAATTTTCAGTGATGGCTTCCATAGTAAAGAGACTTGATTAGCACATTTGCACCTGTTTAGCTCCTAAATCGAACACCTAGAACATGTTGTTGACTTTACTCCTCTTGGAAGAACAGTTTCTTGAGAAGAATCTTAGCAAAACTTGGTGTTCCTGATAGCTGGGTAATTGGACCCATTCAGAATTCCCTGTGGGGTTTTAAATATATTGTCAGAGAATACAAGACTCCAGTAGGTTAGAACATGTGGTACAGTGATTATGAGTTGGACAGGTTTGCTTGTTCCTAAAATCAAATGCACATTTCCACTAGAATGAAATCTGAGGAGGGACTGCCCAGGGTCTATCAGAACTTTCTTTTCTTTTTCTCTCACCTGAGAGGCACGTCTGGCCTAAACGCAATTAGGATGGGGAAGTCAGGAGGATTGTTCCAGCCACCTGGAAATTTTGTGAATATTCACATCAAATTCTGCATTTAGAAATCCAGTGAGTTCTCCTAAAAGAGAGATAAACTGTGTTCTCTCTGTTCACAGTCTCTTGGCCCTGCTCCAATACTTGGCTCATTTGAGCATCCAGTGAAATCTAATGAATGAATGTACTAATTATGATGTGCATCTTATTTTGATTAAAAAAATATACTTTTTTTTTAAAGAATTTGCTTCTTTTTTAGGGAACTGTAAATAGCTAATCAGCATATGAAAATAATTCATACTAGCAAGAAGTAAAGAAATAGCAATTAAAATGATGTTTTAACTTACAAAAATGCAAGTATCTAAAAATACTACTTGTGGAAATGTCATGGGAGAACTAAGATGTTGGTTGGTATAAACTTTGAGAAAGTGCTGGGCACCAGGAGTTTCAAAACAACCAGACCCTGTTAAAGAAATTTTAACTCAGTTGTAGAAATTCACACCAAGGAAACGAGGAAAGATTTCAAAGCAAGATGTTTTGTTGTGTTTATTTAAAACATCATTTATGATAACCCAAATAGACAGAAACCTAACTATTCACTGGTCATTTAAGTAAATTGCAATTTACATTTAACTAATTAAAATTATGTCCATAAGGGAATTTTATGAACTTTAGATTTTATGCAAAAAAATATGGAAGACTGATTTTTTTTTTCTGCCCAGTGTATACTCCACGCATGGAAAAGGTTTGAAATGCATCACCCCCAAAGTTACTTTCTCTGAGTAATGGGCAAGCTGTTCTTCACTCTTTTAAATCCCTCTTTGCCTTCCTGATTATCTCTAATAAGCAGATATGTCTTTTTGTATGAGCACTTCAAAAATTAAAAATACTTTAAAACAAATAATTTTAATAAGGGTAACATAAATGAAGCATTAAGCTCATCCCCAATCCTGCCATTCTAACTAGTAAAACTAGTTTGGGTTACTATATGATTCTCTAATATCTGGCACATAATTTTTCAGTACTGTGATGGTACCATCACTCACTATACCTTGGTTTCCTTCTTTTCTTGTTTGAGTCAACTCTGGGCTTTGTTTTCTGAGATGGCCTTTGCTTTCTAAGGTTGGCGAAGTCGTGGGGCTCACCCTCTACAGCTGCTCCAGCAGGAGACCCATCCACAGAGGACGGCTGAACACACCTCTAACTGTGGAGTTTGGGGAGGAAGACAGTCCAGTAAGGAGAGCCTTGCCCCATGCCTGCTTCAGTTAGACTGTGCAGGCTAGTTTTTCATGCACTCACTTTTCCACATACAACTTTCATTTAATTTGTTTTCTTCTCAATTACAGGATAATAAGAGAAATAAAACAAAGTTTATATTGCTTCGGGAAAAGGTGAATTTCCATCAGTTCACTGGGATATCCCCAAAACCCCAGGAGTCTCTACAGATACGAATTGAGTTTTCTAAGCCCATTACCAGAGCATTTCCTGTCATGCTGCTAGTAAGGTATGTTGAGGGTGACTGCAAAAGTGCCCATGAGATGGTGGCAAGACTCACTGACCTTAAGAATTTTTTGTGAAAGATTAGCGAATTAAAATGTTTTCAAAGCAATGAAGAGGCTCATTGTCTAAAGAAATTATTTATTTTACTATTTAGACAATAAGCTTCCATAGTTTGTTTTTCAGGTTAGATTCTGCCTATTAATTGGCGTGAGAAACATCTGAATAGATAGTAATGATATGTATCATCTTATTTGGGAATCCATTTGATCTTCCTTCCTTCTTTCCTTCTTTCCTTCTTTCCTTCCTTCCTTCCTTCCTTCCTTCCTTCCTTCCTTCCTTCCTTCCTTCCTTCCTTCCTTCCTTCTCTTCCTTTCTTTCTTCTTCCTATTCCTCTTCTTCCTCCTCTTCCTCCTCCCCTGCTCCTCCTCTTCCTTCTTTTTCCTTTCTCTCAATAAGGAAAAAATGTTCTCATATATATATAGATATATCTAAGGAGATTTCATAAATTATCTTTCTCAGTAATATTTAGTCTGTGAAATTGGATGGCCATTTTAATCACTAAATTGCATAAGAAGGATAAATAAATGAACATTAAAAGATTCTTTGGAATCTTACTTTGAAATTGCTAATGGAAGCCTTGAGTTTGTGGGGTGATGCTATTCCACTGCACCTGTTTGATTGAGAGAGTAGCTTGACTGAACCAAAGGGGACTCCCAAGCAAGGGCTGTCTCTTAGGCAGACACTGCCTGCTAGCCCTGGCACAGTGCCATTCTGCCCACTGACTTAACCCTCATTCTGCCAAATGAGCTAATCCATCAAATGTCTGAAATTGTCTATTTCCTCAAAGAATTCAGGTTTTAACTTACTTCAACACACAGAAGAAGTACATTTTCAATTCCTAGAAAATTCTTAGTCTGACCACTTTGTGCTTATTGTCCTTTATCTGCCAATTTCTAGCTCTGCCAACAGGTGCAGTGGAGCATTAAGACAGCTGTGTATGTGCTGCAGGGCCCTCCTAACATGGAGCCAGCACTGTATGTTTTATTCCTATATACTATGCTGGTTATTCTTTTTTTTCTCTTTTACTGAAGTTTTAGGGGTTTTGTGTTCTATTTTTTTTAATGAAATGAAGAATGAAAGTGTCATCCATTTATTAAAAGTCCAACTGGTACCATGGGATTAGCACATCAGATCGTTTTAGCCCATGCTACTTCTTGTGGCAAGAAGGTTGTTTTTCACAAATTATATGACTAAAGAGTTGAAAGAGGAAAAAAAAAACTAGACATCACTACTTCATTTCTATTTTCTAGATTCTCCAAGAAACCTACTCCCTCTGATTTTCTTGTGAAACAAATCTACTCCTGGGATGAGCAAATTGTCCAAATTTACATACCTGCTGTTCCACAAAAAGGTCAGTGGATAAGATGCTTTTTAATTTTCAATTCTTTTCAGGCTACAACTTGAGTTTGCAGAGCAGTGTTTTTCTCATGACATAACCATCCTCATGACACAACCATCCAAGTCATCTCTTTGCCTGCTAATAAACAAACCATTTCTCAATACTCTTGTGAAAAGTATACTATAACCAAGTACAGTCCTTGTCATCCAGTGGTGTGGAGGACACATGCACTTTTCACAGGACCCTGCCCACCTCTCCATCTCTCCTTGCCTCAAGCTATGACTCCTCCTGCTTCTCAGGGTTCTGGGTTTGTTCCACTGGTAGCTGTCTGCAGTTCCTTCCATTTTCTTTCCTTGAACTCCCCTCTGTGGAGCTGCTTTGACCCTAGAAGTTCATTTGCCTCCACTGCCCAAGTGCCTTGACTTTGCTTTCTAGCCTGCTGCCCCTTGCCTCCCAGCTAGACATCAGGGACCATGACTTCAAAGGTGAGGCTTCTCCGTATGTCACATAAAAGCAGAGAACAGGCCCTTTTGATGATCCTTGCAGAATATTGACCTTGGGGCTCACCCTTTCACAGCAGTCTGACCTGTTTGCTTAGAATCCTGAGCGCCAGTGTATTCCCCTGAAGATCAAGAAACTGGAGCTCTGTGTGCTTAAGTGGACCAAACAAGACTAATAGATACATACTTTAGACCCATGTCCAGCATGCTATGTGGTCCTTGAAAGAGAAGTTGGCTTCTGACCCTCAGGTGAATGGGTGAATCCTTCATCTCTAAATTTTTCTATACTGAGATATAGTCACTTTCCTCTGAGACCCAGTCACTTCTCTTCTCTTTTGAAATGAATCCAACTGTATTGCTAATCAAATTCAATTAAATAAGCCAAACTCAGAAAGTCTAAGGTTGAAAGTTTTCTCTTAGATGCAGAAGGTAGAGAGAAGTCAGGAATTAAAAAGAGAGACGTGGTCCCTTGAAAATGGAAGGGAGAACAGTGGAAGAGAGGGAGAGGATCCGGGAGGGAGGGGATCCAGGAGGAAGGAGAAGGGAAGAAGGATGGGAAAGGGGAGAAACTTCAGGATAAAATTTTAAAAATTTCATGTGCAGCATGCATGCATGAATATATCACAATGAATGCCACTTTTATGCACCAATTTAAAAATAAATAAATAGAAGGAAGACCAGTAAAGTAGAATAAAGAAAGCAGTGGGAAGGGGGAAAAGAAGTACTGGAAATTGAAAGGAAGCAAATAATGGCATACATGTGTTAGAATATGTCAAAATGAACCCCACTGCTATGTATAACTATAAAGTATGAATAAAAACTTTTAAATTCTGAATTTTTAAACTTCATGGCAATTTTTTAAAATTTTACATTTCACATTTCTTTTCTACAATATTTTGTTGTAAAAAATTTTAAACTGATAGAAAAGTTTTAAAAAGTAAAAACAAACACCTATATTATTCCATCTGGATTTACCAACAGCTCACATTTTGCTACACAAAATTTATCCTGGTGTACATCTGAATGTGCATGAATGTGTGGGGGTGTGCATACTTGTGTGCTTTTGGGTGAGCTCTTAGGAGGAGGGGAAGGAGGATGGGGAGGAGGAGGATCCAGTGGAATGAAATTTTCAGACTCATGACATTCCACTTTTAAATACTTTGACAGACATCTCATTAAAAAAGGGGGCTCTCCTACTGAACTCAGGAAAATTATAACCCCAAACAATCAACATTAGCTTAATATCTACCCTGTAGCCCCTAGTTAAAATTTTGAAATTTCCCCTAATGTCTTTAAACCTTTATATTTCTTATTCAGAATTAAATCAGACTTCATGAGTGCATTTCATTGCCATGTTTTTATAGTCCCTTTAAAATCTAGAACACTTCCCCCATTTTTAAAAATAACAATGACTTTTAAATTATTCCAGCTCAGTCATTTTTTTTGCTGTCTCACATTCTAAAATTGTATGATATTTTATGATTAAATTCAGTTTGTAGGTGTTTGGCGCATTCTCAACAGGTAATGCCCAGCATGGTAGTTAGCTTGAGGAGAGCCCCTCTAGTCTAACAGGCCACTTTTCCCTGCATAGTCACTGTGAGGTGAAGCTCCTGAACCAGCTGAGTGTTCTCTTGCCTGCAGCCTCTCACCCCATGGTTTCAAGTTAGCACTGGTGATATACAGTGGTCCACAGAATGATGACTTTCTAGCTCCACCATAAATCAGGAGGCATTCTTCAGTAAAGGAGCACTTCTCTCTCCCTTACCCGTGTTCTTTTGTCTCTTGGTGCCTAGAGTGTCTCAAAAATATAATATGTTCAGTTCATTTCCATCATTTTTCTTTCTGATGCTCGACTTGGTCAAAGAGAATTCCCTCATGATGCTTCTTGAATTTTTTTGACAGGGTAAACCTTTGAGTGCTTGCTTGCTTCCTGGGGTGCAGGATGCTCTGCCTTGTCATGCACTTGACCTGCCCTTCCTTGGAATCAGCTCTTTGTCATGGGGACTTTTAGAATTCCAGACCTGGGCACCAAATGTGCTCATTAAATATTGGGGTGTCATTGATTTAGTTAGTAACTGTGTGTGTGTGTGTGTGTGTGTGTGTG